TGTTCCCAAATAAAATAAAAAATTAATTAAGTAAAAATGGGAAGTGCTTACATGAGAATAAGCTTCACATCTTCCAATCATGATTTCGTTAGACTTTTGTATCAATAATTTCATTAAAAATGAACATAAAATTCAAAAGTATCACTTTTAGGATAAATAGAATTATCATTTTGCTTTTGGATAGATTCATTATTAAATGTTAGTTAAAAATTCTGCTATTTTGATGGCTCAAACAAAAATTTAAACCTAATTCGTATTTGAAATTCACCTCCTTAAACTCCTATAAGGAACCAAAAGGAAAAAGTCATGCATGCAATAATGAACTACTGAGCTAAGTGAGATTCGGACTCGTGAGCAGTTTGTTGCAATGTGCAATTTTGGAAGTAAAAATGATATAGAGATAACAAAAAAGAGAAAACAAGTGAAAAAAACATTTAGAAACAAGATATTTATTAAAGAAATATTGTGACCATAGACAATCAACATAACACTGGTACTCATGCTAAACATATTTGGATTTTTCAAATAAATGCTTGAAGAAACTTTTTCAGGGGCATTTAAGTGGTGATTTTATAGTATTATTTTGTTACATCTTAATGAAGATATAAGTGGAATTTTCAAATCTTAATGAGCTTGATTTCATTACATTGAGCGAAGGAATTTTGTTATGATAGTTGATGATGAATATCAAGCTTTGCTACTATTGTATTCATAACCTCCCTCTCTTAAGAAAATTTTTGTGATGTCATATTATATTGGACAAATACAATTAGTTTAAAGAATGCTAAAAATTCACTCCTTACTAAAGATATAAGTATTAAGATTAAAGGTGTTAAAGAAAAAGTATTAGATGGATTGTTGGATAGGAGAAGACCTTTTAAGATGTAGTACACCTCTAATCATGGTGAAGAAAATCTCGTTGAAGGTAAGAGAATACAACATGTTCGATTACAAGAAGAAACCATTTTGATAGAGAATGTCAAACTTTGGAAAGCAAGGAATAACATGTCGATGACAAACATAACGAGGATAAATCATCAAATTGGCCAGATGAAAATTTGAATAATACTTCTCTAATAAATGTAAGATAAAGATCATTGATCAATGAATATGGATTCTACTTGTTTGTGACATATATTATTGTGTGAATTACTTTCCACTCGAGTCATGTTCAAATGACTATGTCCATTTAGAAAATGACTTAGTGTATAAGATAGTAGGTTTAGGTACAATGAAGTCAAACTTACATAATGAAGCCACTCATGAGGATGTTCGAACACTATTTGGGTATTAGTGAAAAGCTCAATTTGAAACGAAGACAATATTAGAAAAATAGAAAAAAATTTACATTGTCATATTATTGAATAAGTAGAGGATTTGCTAAAATTTTAACTTAACTTTGTTAGGATAAGTACATAGTTAAAATTTGTGGTCTAAGAACAAATATAAATATCTTTTTTTTTTCTGTATAAAATCATAATTAAAAGTTTGTTACAGATTTTGTTATTTAGGACAACAAAATTTAAACTAAATATAAATTTAAGATTCACCTCCTTAAACGATCATAAATAAGTGAAGAAAAAAGAAGAGATGGGTATGCATGCATGAACCTATTATGTGCCAAAAAGAAAGTTGAGCTTGGAATGGCTAGTAGACATGTGTTGCCATTGGAATTAAGAAGAGATAAAAAAAGAAAAAAACAAAGCTAAGGCAATCGAGTAAAAAGAAATAGAATTAATCAAGGAAATAAAAATTTTTTACCATGTATAACTACCTTAATGCAATGCAAGCACAATCATGTCATAAATATTGTGAAAATTCAATAGACATGCGAAAGAACAATTTGTGGAGCATTTGGGTGGCATTTTTTTGGTATTATTGAAATATTCTTTATTAATCATATTTCTTATAGTACTCTCTTTTATTCAGCAAGAAAGCTTTCGTTCTTTATTTAATAATGAGATTAGGTGTATTTGAGTTTAGGAGTGTTTTCTTTTGCTCATTTTATTTGTACGTTTATATCTCTTCTTAATATTGGATCAAACTCTCTCCACTTTTGTGTTTGTAGTCTATTATTTTAGCCAAATCACATAAATTTTAATATCTTGTAGCATTTGATTTCTTTGTTAATATTTTGTGGTTTCATCATATTCACTCCTAATAGACACTTTCAAATTAAAAGTTTGATTTTTTCCCACTAGGTTTCAAAATAATTTTCAATATGCCATGAGACCTTCAACTTATCAGCAAGTTCATGACTTGTTTTCAATATATAATAATAAAAATGCCTAAACATTGAATTGTTACCTAAATAAATCGTATTCAAGCAAAAAGGAATTTCTTTAATCATATAAAACTATACACATAGAGCTTAAAAGTTGCCCTAAAGGCAGCCTGCCAACAAACTGGGGAAACCATGAATGAATGCTAAGAAAGCCACCATTCGAGTGTATAAGGAAACATCTTACCTTAGGAGAAAAACACAAGAAATTTGCCACAAATTAAAGTATCAGCAAGAATAAAAAAATTTGATTTCCAGGATATTTAATATTTTGCCAGAATGTTTTGCAAAACTTAGACAGTCATCCAACCAAATAGCATAGAAATGAAGGGAATCACCCTCATTTAATCGCCTACATCAGAAAAACTTGCATGTAACATTTACTCTAAAGCAGAAAAAAATATATTTGATAGTTTTTCATACCTTACCAACAAAAACCAGTGGTATCAAAAAGGTTGGTGCCGCTGAAACCAATCCCAGAAGTAAATATTCTAGCTCGGTGAAGCTCTGTTATCAGAATTGATCCCCATCAATGCAAGCTTAATGCAGCACAAAAAAAAAAAATGCTAACTTCAAAGAGTTCAACTATCTATGACCGTAAATAAACTTCAGTATCTGCGGTAACCCCAATTAATATGTATCCTTATTCCCAATAAAAAGTTGAATTTTAAAATCTAATATCAAATTCAACAAGGTATTTGAAAAAAATAGAGCAAAGTTTATAAATTGCAGTGCCCACATAAGAATTTATCATAATACTTCCACAACAAGCCTTCAAAATGTCTTTCCTAGGAAGAAGGTCAAAAGTAATCGAAGAAAATAATGACACTGTACGAATAAAATCTCAAAATCTAATGTTTACATCTGAAGAAGATCACAACAATAAAACTAACAAAAAATACTATAGAGCTGTTGGGTCGCAAGTGGGATTTAACACAAATATGATTTAGTAAATCATGAAAGTAATAAGTCTTCAAAAGATATACAGAAAATTTTATTAACTTTTTCAGCACTATTTGATAACAAATAGAAGATACTCCAATGTTGCAATGCGAGCAATTGCGTCATTTTTTAAAAAGTGTATTAACTTTCCCATTTGAACTAGACTATTATATTTTCATATGGAGCAACCCAAAATTTTATCCATATTTTCATAATATTATTAGTGCAATACATAATGCTCATATCCGGGCGGTAGTCAACATACGGTTGCAGGTCAAGTATCATAAGAGATTTTATTTTGCTTCGCAGAATGTAATGGTTATAGTTTCATTTGATCAACGACTTATAGACATTGCTTCATATTATGAGAATTCAAGAGCTAATATGAGGGCATTACAATAGTCAATGAATGAGAGTCTTAAACATAATATAAAATAAATTTTATTTGATTGACCCGGACTCTACAAACATTAAAAAACTTTTGACATCATTTAAAAGATATCGGTTTTATTTAAGTGGGTATCACTGAAGCACGCCCTACAAATACTTAATAACACAATAGTTATACAATCAGCGATATGCACAACTACACAATATAGTTGAGAGATTTTTTTGGATTTAGAAATAAATGTTTCAAGCCTTAAGTCATAAGCATCAGTTTCTTATACAGGCGGATAGCTTGTGCATTGTTGCATAGATTCATTAGTCCCTATCAAGGCATGCTCCATATTTTAATATATTTCAAACTAAGGTACAATATAATCAGTTTGGAAAGATTGAAGTAAATAATGAAGACCCTGACATGCATGTAATGATTAGAGAGAGAATTCAAGAAGATATTATATGACATGTGATTGCAATCTACTTATGAGAAACACGTACAAGAATTATTGTTTATTAACTGTAAATCTATTTTATTCAAAAGCATTTATTTACTTGTGCATTTTTATAATCAGTGACTCAAAAATATTGATCAAGTTGAAAAGCTTGCTGAAATTTATGATGTATATCCAAATTTGTCTTCGATTCAGCATAATCTCAAATTTACTTTGGATGATATGGATTTACAGATTTGCCAAATCCTATTAAAATTAAATCTTACATCCAACGGGAGAAATAAGAGATTTATGTTTTCTTAAGATCTCCATTTGACAAAATTTACGTTAAAACCTACTTAAAACTTCTGTTGAAGTTGCATTCAAGCAGTCCCGAACAATTACATACGAACCGAGGAACAGAGGAGCGGGTAGAAAAACAGAGAATAAAGTTAGAGAAAGAGCACAGACCTCGTAAAGCTTGTAAGGAACGATGATTCCAAGACAGAGTGTGAGCCAAAACGGAGTATAGAACAGAAAGAAGAGTTCTCCCCATCTCTTGCTCGGATTCGGAGCCAGCCATAGACTTCCAGATTCAGTCCCTCTCGCTGCTGCAACTACTTCGCCTCCTCCCCTCCCTTTCCCTTCCAATCCTGTATCAAAAAAAACTGTCAAAAACCTACTAAACAAAGCCAGAGGAAACCGCCATCTCTACCGACTTAGATAGAAAATCCCTAAGGATGCCCCATTTAAAATCTGTTAGAGAGAAAGAGAGAGAGGGAGAGAGTCTAAACTTCTCACCCCCCATCCCGGTAGAACAGGATGGTCCCCGACGAAAGTGGGAACAGCTAATCTCTTGCGAATGGATCGAGCAAAACCGCCCTAGGCTTCGTAATCCTCCATGCGGGCTGCAGCTCACTTCTGTTCACGGGTTCACTCGCCGGAGAGGGACGTTTTTGGAACTAATAGCGTTGAGCGGAGAAATATGGCTTGTTATCCGGTCAGATTCAAAAGTACATTTAAGATTAAAATATTTCTTTAAATTTTAATCTTATTGAAATATTATATAAAAAATATTAACATTTTATATCAGGAGTCCGTACATATCAACCATACAAAACTTTAAATATAATATTTTTGTCACATTCAGAATACAGAAGGCGGTACACCACAACAATGCGGATACATGATGAAATGAAATTAAACCTTTTTGTATTATGAGTATTATGAAAAAAAATACTTGCATGCAAATAAAAAAAATAAATGTAAATTTTATTAATATTGAATAGTCCACTTATAGAATTGAAATGAAAATAGAAAATTAGTTAAATCAAAATTGAATGAACAACATGAAAAAGTCACCCAGACCCCAAAAGTAAAATATAATAACTAAAGCAAATATTAAAAAAAACACTAAAGTCGAGAATTTAAAACTAAAAAGTTTGCTTCAGTGGAGACAACGCAACTAGTGACTAGATAGAATATGTTATACAAAAATAGGAAAAAGTGAGTTTGACAAATATACTCAATAAATAACATTTATCTATTAAAACATAAATGATAAAGAAAATGAGGCATGCGATATAAACAATAAATAAGAAACATTACTACGTGCATATATAATATTGTAAGATAACAAAAAAGTGGAAATCATCAAATAATATATCATAAAAAAGAACATGCAATCATATTCCATCAAGTTTTTTATTATTCAGTTTTTTTTTTCTTTATTATTTATATAGTTGGTTTTAGTAGACACTCTGAAATCAAGAAAAGTCAATACTAACCAAAAGAAACCCGGCGATTTCCTATAGTCGTCACACAGTGAGCCCGTACACCCGACTAGCCAAAATAAAAAAGTGTTCTACCGATCTACATGTTATCATACATGAGCATATAAAATTTCCATATATAATATGTAAGAAGTATACAATTTCACACAAGCTTGACATATAATGTGAATCCCCGAATAATTTTATAAAGTGCAAGAAAAAAAAACACTATAATTGTAGAATTACTCAGATATGCATCAAATTTCCATCAATAAATTAAGGTACTTAGTGCTTTTATTAAGAGTAATAATTGAAGTTTATAAAGAGTACAAAATTATAATTGGAGTAACATGGTCATAATTGACAATCTTATAAAATAACTATGAATATAGTAAAAATAACAAGGTTTAACACTCTTAATTGGGAAGAGTATGTTTGACATTTTTTTTGCATGTTAATTAGGAATGGTACGTTAAACATTTTTTTTGCATGTTAATTTGTGTTTATTGCATGTTTTATGACCATATGACACTTGGGAAAGGTATGTTCGACATGTTGTGCATGTTACGATATGACACTTGGGAAAGGTCATAATTGATAAAGTTCATAATTGACAATCTTATAAAATAACTATGAATATAGTACAAATAACAAAGTTTAGCGCTCCTAATTGGGAAGAGTATGTTTGGCATTTTTTCTACATGTTAATTAGGAATGGAACGTTGAACATTTTTTTTTGCATGTTAATTTGTGTTTATTGCATGCTTTATGACCATATGACACTTGAGAAAGGTATGTTCGACATGTTGTGCATGTTACATGGTTTAAACTAATTGGAAGAGAAAAAGAGGCAAATTGGGAACAAAAAGAGTAAAAAATTGAACTGGTGTATCCACGACCGAGTACCACATTGGAGTGCATCTGTGTCAGGTCCTTGCACACCTGTGTCTGGTTCTTGCACACCTATGTCGGCCCATATCGAGCCAAAGTTCAAATAAAGTAGTTGGAATACTCGTGCCATGATCAGGGCACACCCGCGCTGAAAGCATCACCCCCACACCACATGTTTAGCACCTCTGCACCCTATGCTAAGCCAATGAGCAGCGCCCCCGTGCTCAGTACATGTCACACACACGCCCAGGCCAACCGCACATTAATGCCCAAGCGCTTGATGCCTTAAACGCATGTGCCTCACATCTACGCATCCAAGAGACCTTTTGTTGCCTACGCAACGTACATGTGTCGTACTTAAACCAGACCCAGTGCTCTTGCATCAGGCACGAGCATGTACACAACCAATACACAAAATTCAATTATGCGAAGATTTCTTTTCTTGCAGGCAACCTTGGCTATAAATACATTTCTTAGAATGAGGGGAGGATTTTTTGTCGACTGGAGGCGAGCTTTTCTTGGAGAGAAGAGTTGCTTTGAGTGTCTTAGAGGTTTCTATCTTCCATCTTGAAGGAAGAAGGCCCTTAGGGTAGTTTTCTTTATGTTTTCTTGAGGTTCTTGAGACAAAGTTTGTAAGAGAGGCATTGTGGATGGTGCGGAGATAAGTCTTTAGCATATTCATTGTATGGTGAGGATCACCACTTGTGTAGAGAGGAAAATTTGGTTGTAAGTTTTTATTTTCATGCATGTATTGATTTTTAATAATTTCCATGACATGATTTTTCTCTCGCATGTCTTGTAGTTAAATTTCATTTGTGCTTCTATGATGTAAGAATGGTTATTTTTTGTGATTTTTCATGCATGTGATTTTTGCATAATATTTTTTGTGCTTATCATGCATGCAAGTAATAGGGTTAACTTTCTGGACTTTGTTTGCTCGTAAGCTAACCCATTGGAAAGTTAAAACTATTCATGTTCTAGGACTTCTGGTCATTTCTTAGTGGAAAGGATAAATTAATTCACAAAACCTAATGAAATAGGTATGTTGTCATTAAAGTTTTGTAACATAGACAAGGGATCTGAAGAGCCCTGAGAAATGTTGCATGATTAAGCCCACTTAACTATAATATGATTTCAAACTCTTCTCCTCACCTAATTATAGGCTAAAAAGAAATGATATCCCTAGTTGACAACTATCACGTAAGGGAATTCCTAAGAAAATCATGAAATGACACCACCTGATTCGTAGAAGCTCAAGTCTCTTCCCCTCTAAAGGGAACTCCAACTTCGTGCTTCTTATATTTCTTGAACTTGCTATTGATTTACTACTATTAGTGCAATCCCTCTAAAGGTCATGTCAAACTAGGTTTCTTAGGTTAGTAAACTAGAGGTTCAATTGTCATAATCAACAATTGTCATAATCAATCTTCTTTTCGTGCGGGAAAAACATACAGGCTTGAAAAATTATTTATTACTTGACACGTATACTTATGTGCTTGAACATTTGCGGATTGATAAATTTTTGGCCATCAAGCCTTATTAGGGTTGTCTGGATGGCTGATCCCTTCATCCTCGTTTGGGAACCAGCCACCTCCAGCTGGTTCTTGATCCACAATAGCTGCACTCCGATCATTTTAGAATCAATGTCCACTGAAAGAGAATCGATGGTCATGAAATCTATAACAGACGGTTGCACCAATAGACATTATAAAGAAGAATTTCAGAAAATAATAAAAATTAGATAAGCAAGACCAAAATTTATTGTGCCAAGGACTTGATCCCACTAAGACATGATAAATGAAACCTACCCCTCACCAACATTCTAGAGGTTCAATTGTCATAATCAATCTTAACCATTTTCATGTGGGAAAAACATACATGCTTGAAAAATTATATATTACTTGACATGTATAGTTATGTGCTTGACCATTTGTGACAATATAACTTTTTGGCCATCAGACCTTGTCGGGGCTGTCTGGATGGTTGATCCCTTCATCCTCGTTTGAGAGCCAGCCACCTCCAGCCGGTCCTTGATCCACAATAGCTACGCTCCGATCATTTTAGAATCAAGGCCCAATGAAAGAGAATTGATGGTCATGAACTTTGTAGCAGAGGGTTGCACCAATAGACATTATAAAAAAGAATTTGAGAAAATAATAAAAATCAGATAAGCAAGACCAAATTTCAAAATGCCAAGGATTTGATCTCACTCAGACATGATAAATGACACCTGCCCCTCACCAGCATTCTAGAGGTTCAATTGTCAAAATTAATTTCAACCCTTTTCGTGCGGGAAAAACATACAGGCTTGAAAAAATATATATTACTTGACACATATACTTATGTGCTTGACCATTTGCGGCATGATGATTTTTTGGCCATCTTGCTTTGTTAGTGTTGTTTGGATGGTTGATCCCTTCATCCTCATTTGGGAGCCAGCCACCCCCAGCCGGTCCTTTAATCCACAATAGCTGCACTTTGAATATTTTAGAATCAAGGCCCACTAAAAGAGAATCAATGGTCATGAACTTTGTAACAGGGTTGCACCAATAAACATTATAAAGAAGAATTTCATAAAAGAATAAAAATTAGATAAGCAAGACCAAATTTCATCGTGTCAAGGATTTGATCCCACTCAAACATGATAAATGACACCTGGCCCTCATCAGCATTCTAAAGGTTCAATTGTGATAATCAATCATAAACCTTTTTGTGCAGGCAAAATATACTGGCTTTAAAAATTATATATTACTTGACACGTACACTTATGTGTTTGATCATTTGCGGCATAATAACTTTTTTGCCATCAGGCCTTGTTAGGGCTGTCTGGATGGTTGATCCCTTCATCCTCATTTGGGAGCCAGCCACCTCTAGCCGGTCTTTGATCCATAATAGTTGCACTCCAATCATTTTAGAATCAAAGCCCACTGGAAGAGAATCGATGGTCATGAACTTTATAATAGAGGGTTGCCCCAATAGACATTATAAAGAAGGATTTCAAAAAAGAATAAAAATGAGATAAGTAAGACCAAAATTCATCGTGTCAAGGATTTGATCCCACTCATACCTGATAAATGACACCTGCCCCTCACCAGCATTCTAAAGGTTCAATTGTCATAATCAATTTTAACCCTTTTCGTGCGAGTCAATTGTCATAATCAATCTTAACCCTTTTCGTGCGAGAAAAAACATACAAGATTGAAAAATTATACATTACTTGACAACTATACTAATGTGCTTGACGATTTGCGGCATGATAACTTTTTGGCCATCTTGCCTTGTTGAGGTTGTTTGGATGGTTGATCCCTTCATCCTCGCTTAGGAGCC